GTTATGACAGAGGCTGGAATACAACACAGCCCTGCAGTAGGACAGTGAAAGTGTGCTTCTGGCCAGGCAGCAGAAAACAAACTGCTCCTGGTGGTCTCTACCTTAAAGTATAGAGAAGAAACTATTCACCAGATCCGCAGCTGCATTCCATATGCTGAGGACTCTTTAAATTTATTCTAGCAAATAAACAGTATATGTAAAAGAAGTTGTAAGTGGAATCCCACCTGGACAAGTTGGACGGTCATTCTCTGAGGTCCATACCTATATTTTGCAGAGGCCAGAGATGGGATATACAGTGATGTGGTAGGAATCACTATGCTTTCCTCCTTCTAGCCTTTGACAATGCCGTTAGTCTCCGCAATCCCCCCAGAAATGCAATATTGCTTTGGCTTATTGTTTTGGTCGGTGGGCCATAGTTCTAGGGGATTTCACTGAGCCTTTCTTAAAATAGTGACAATTGCACAGTTCATGGAACCAAAAAGAGGAGTATGTCCAGCTGCTCTTCCAACTATGCATTCTGGAACTCACCGTGGGCCAGGAGGTCCATCCAAGCCACAGTGAGATGACCCTGGCCCTAAGCTCCTTGATTAGTCTGTACCCTAAGCATAGAGGCATTTTGGGTCCCAGGAGCATCAGGTGAGAGCCGGAGTCCAGTAATCTCCAAAATAGTTGCTAGTTTTCATAACCCTTTATGCAGTCCCCCTCCCCGACGGCTGTGGGTCTCATTAGGGACGGCCAGAAAGACTTGCAAGGATAAATATTTGGCAGAGCAGTGGATCCTTCCTCAAGAGTTGCCATGAGCAGCCCCCGCCTCACCCTGTTCAAGGTATAAACATCTTTGGGCCTGTGATTCAATTCTCATAAAATTAGCTAAGATGTCGTGATTCAACTGTTGTGACTTGAATCGGGCTCCTTTGAAACAGGCCTGGAACTCTTAACAAATAAACTTAGATTCTAAAACAATGGTGGTCCGGATTGCCATCCTTTCTCTCAGTGCTAGGGACACCATGAGCAACGGGCCCATGCCGAAGATCCCCGTGGACTGAATTGTCCTGATTACTGCTTCAGCCCTGATGCCCACCTGTCTTGGACCTCCTGTTGACACAGCTACTAGATGCCATCATCCCCGTTAGGCTGGTGCAGTCCATTTCAATGACAGCATCCCAGCTCCCATTACGGGATCACAGAGAGCTTCCATATGAGATTTCGAGAAAGCCAGCATTCCATTCGCCAGGAACTCCTCCAAGCTCTGGTGAAAGGAGTTTCTAGGCCTCTAGACCTGTCAGGGGCCAGAAATAGCGGAATGGGCAGGCAGTTATTACATAGAAAATCCATCTCAGCGTTCCAGTCTCCTCAGCCTTTGGATACCTTATTCAGCATGCCAAGTAATTACGGCCTCATCAATTCCATTGATGCATAATCCACTGCTGGATTCAGGTTGATTGACGGGTTTCAAAGTCACTCAGATGAGCACCCTCTGTTAGTGCTGTTCTTAGCTGCTTGCTCAAGCTAATACACTGAATCCAGACCACTGATAATGCTATCCATTTCAGTAAATTCAGTCCAGTCCAACATTACTTTCCTTCCATTCCGAGTCTCCCTGGGATCTACTCCCATATGTATCAGTTGTAAGTTTTCTATTGCTGTGTAACAAATTACCACAAATTTTGTGACCTGAAACAACACCCATTCATTCTCTCAGTTTTCTGCAGGTGAGGAGTCTGAGCGTGGCTTAGCTGGGTCCTCTGTGCAGGACACTGCTTTCGTCAAGGTGTTAGCTGGGCTGGGTTCTGCTCTGCGTATGGACACGTCTTCTAAGCTCATGTGGCTGTTGGCAGAGCTCAGTTCCCTGCACTTGTAAAACTGAGGCCCTGATGTGTGTTAGCTGACGGCAGGGGCTGCTCTCCATGTGCAGAGCTCCCCGCAGGTACTTGCCTCTTGGTCCTCTTACAGCTCCTGTCACAACATGGCAGCTCATTTCTCCAGTGCCAGCCGGAGAATCTCTTGCTCCGGTCTGCTAACATAAAGTCTTATATAACGTAAGGGAATCATACAAGGGACCATCGCACCTTTGACATCTTCTGTTGTCTAAAGTCAAGGCAGGTGCTTACCTCACTCCAGACAGAATTCTACAAGAGACAACTCACTGGGGACAGGGCCCCATAGGGTGTGTCTGACACAGCATGTATATCTCAGATATCTTCTGATATAAACTGGCTATTCACTGGGCACTGCCAGGATTCAAGTTTAAGTATAGGTTGAGAAGCAATGAAAAATCATGAGGATGGCTTTGGGAAGGAGGTGAGACAACTCTTTTAGGAGAGACAATAGGTTCTTCAGACAAAGGGAAGACTAACCTCCTCAGGGGTGCGAGGGCTGATTCTACTGGAAAAGCAGCCTGGTCCAATGTTGGGTTTAATGTGCCCGGCTTCACCAGGATCGTCCCTAGGCCCTCATCTCAATTTGGATGGTCTTACTCTCTCCCAATCCATGTCTTATCTCTAGCATGAGAAACATCATTAGGTTGTGAATTCAAGTTGCTTGGTAAATCAGCCCACCATCTGATTAGAACTTACCAGAAATCTGTGTGGCCACAGGAAAAAAGAGCTACTTTCATGACTGGTTCTCCGAAGCCCTCAACTCACCATTTTCTTTCACCTGGTCCTTACACTTTATTGTCTTCATTAAATGTATTATTTCACCTGCTGCTTAGAGGCCAAAGCCTTGTCTTCTACAGGCACTTGACCTTGGGTATAATAAGTGTTAATTTAAATGATATTCTGCCACTGAAAGCTATGAACTACACCAACAACTGAATCCATCTTGTCTCTACATCTGCAAGAAGACAGATCTGTGGAAAGCGAGACGTCTGGGCAAGCGCCTCCTGTGAACACCGAGCAGTGGGCGGCATGCCTGAGGTCACTGGTGGCTAGCAGAGCCAGCCACCCCAGGGCGAGATGCAGGCAGAGCAGAGTGGGGACAAGCCGAGCCCTTGAGGCACCCCTGCATCTTGTCACCACACCTGACCATGATGACACAAACCTAAAAGAACTCAACACAGTGGCCCCTTGGATACTGAAATCTGACGTCAGCCTGAGTGTCCTGGGTCCCTGACTTCTAGTAGAGAGGGAACTGAAATCAGAAAGTGGAATGGAATGGATAAGAAGGATAACCACAGGTTAGGACCAAAATCAAATCAAAGAATTTAAACCAGTTTGATGGTGGGAGGATCTCAGTGTATCTTGTCCACCTGAATAGGTGACTGGGATGTTTCTCTTTCCTCTCTTTTCTGAATGGATATTTTTAATTAGTCCCTTCCTCCTCACCCATTTTATATTGCGAAGGTTGGAAGGCTGGAGGCAAACGAACTGTCTAGACCCCAGGGCCCTGGACCTCGCGTAAGCTTCTATCCATCACCCATGAGTGTAAATTTCAACCTGGATGCAGTAACTGGATGAGAGCTTGAGGCTGTACTACCTGGGGGAGGGAATGAGCATACCACATGTAGAACCGATGATGTGAAGGGTGCGTATTGACGCAGCCCAGTTAAAGGGATGATCGGTATGAGAAAAAGACATTGACCCACTAGCACCCAAGTCCATGTCTTTTATTCCTTTTTTCTATTCATGAGAACAAAACCTGAATACATCAGCCCCCTATTGGGGCCCTTGTGACATTATTCCATTCAGTGTAATTTAGAAGTCTTGTATCGGGCTTTCATTTTCATCTTTTGTTTCTGAACGGAAGGAAAACTCAAGGCCTAGAGGCACATCAGCCACCAGCAACCGTGAGGGCAAAAGCTGCACTAAGGGGGGGCGCAGCAAGGGCGAGCGGCCCGAGGGGACGACAGCAAAGTGCCCTCACTGCGGCAGCGCTAAGCCGACCTTGCTGGACTTGAGAGAGAAGAGAAACCCCCGAGTCGGGACTCTCTGTGACTTGCAGCAGAACCCAGTGAAAACTGGCCCACATCTGCACACTTTCCGGCTGGGTAAGCTGGGAGAGTTACAGAATTACTGTGACTCATTTTTCTCATACAGAAAATGAGAATAGTAGTAATAAGCCACAGAGTTGGGAATATTAAATATGAAAATCTACATGGAGGATTTCAGAGAAAACCTCTCACATAGTGTGGAGTTGGTAAATAAGCGATTACCAGCAATAGCAGGACTGCTCCATGAGGAAAGCCCTCACCCATGCGCAACATAATTAATATACGGGAAACTGTTCCATGTATCAAAATAGCGATTTAAGAAATGCTGTCAGAGAGGGTGCAGTGAATGTGTACTTGGATATATTACTGGTGGGAGTATAAATTGGTACCTTTCTTTAGGAAGGAGACTGGCAAATGGTCCAGAGGATTAGAAATACCCAAATCTGGCATTCTACTTCTGGCTATTTAGCATAGAGAAGACTTCAAAATACCAGAGTATTAACAAAGACAATGTTAGCTGTCATGCTGTATGTTAACAATGAGGCTTTGGAAAGCAATAGACACATCCACAAAGTAGAAATACTTAGCCATATTAATTTTGCTAAAGTGTACCAAATATTATAGTAATTAAAATGATGTTAATGAAGTGGAAAAAAAAATACCGTGGAAAAAACACCGTAATATTAAGGGAAATACTGTATCTGTAACATGCATAAAACGCTCACCCCAAAACGGGAAATGTTAGCATTGCTGACATCTGGGTTCTGAAATTGTAAGCGGTACTCCCTGCTACTGTAATGAATACTCTATCGGTTAGGATCCTTGTAGCTCCAGGTTAACAGAAAACCTAGCTTGCTGTGACACAAGGCGTGTTCTCATCTCACACAAATGGGCAAGTCCAGAGCAGGCCGGGGCTCACATACAAGCCGGGCAGTGGTTCAACACCATCATCGAGGCACTGATTCTTTGGACGTCTCCACTCGGTGTCCTCAAGTTGGTCCACGGTTTCAACATAGCAGTTGCCAGAAGGACTGTCTCTGGAGTAAACAAACTTGGTGCTCTGCTGGGAAGAAGGGCAGAAGCAAACTCATACTGGAGAGGTGAGCAATAATGTCCTCTGCCAATTGTGACTATTTTAATTTTTCCAAGTATGTTTATTGCTTCCAAGATTTTGAAAGTAATTTGTTTCTTTGTAGGAAGTTTGAGAAACAGAGGATACCAAAAAAACCTCCCACATGATCCTGTTACATAAAACAACTGTTCATTTGATTCAAAACTCTAAGGAATAGTACAGAACATTCTATCCTATGGAAATAGCACAATTTATTCAACCACTTCACTCTTGTAGGTCATCGATGTTAATTCCATTTTCATTGTTATACAGAATGTGGATGTCAATACCATTGGGCATGACATTCCACCTGATTTCTGATTTACTTTCTTAAGATAGTTTCCTGTAAGTGACATTCCTGGATCAACCCTGTTGAGGCTCTTTTTACATATTGCCAAATGAATACACATTTACACACTTACAGTAAGAAAAAAATCTGATTAATAAAATATAAAATGGGAATCATATTTGCCCTAGCTTTGCAGGTTGATGTAAACATCACATTGTTTTAATGTTAAAAAATGCTTTGTTAAAATTAAGGCATTATATAAATGTAAGATATTATTCAAAAATAACAAACACTTGAAACTGCATTATGACAATAATCTCTCTCAGGGATTAGTTTGTAATTTTTACCCTACACACTGTCATCACTTAAAACAATTTCCAACAGTCTACATTATATGTTAACAGAGGAAGCAGTTACCTTAATTACTGAAGTAGGTATTTACACTCATAGGACACTTCCATGCCTCACTCCCACGACTCCCCTATTGTCTGTCTACTCTTATCCCAGACCACCTTCTCTCCTGGACTGGATTCCGGTCTCCAGTATTGCATCACCACTGTAACTCTGCTCTGCTTCCCCAGGCTGACTAGCTATTGAGCTGATACTGTGCATCCCCAGGAAAATGTTTCGTAAGTTAAGTTCCTCAGCATTTTTAAATACCAGGAAAAAAGTTAATCCAAACTCAGGCAGTACTAAAGAAGACGTATTTCAGTTCATCTTATTACACAATTAAGAAATCCAGAAAGCTTTACAGGCTGCACTGCTTTTAGAGATGGAGACTTAGGAGGTCTTTTACTAGTTACAAAAGACATGTACTGTAAGAACCATAGCCCACCCAAACAGTATAATGGCAAACATGTGACTTACTACAGCAAAGAAAGATTTTTAAAGAAAAAAACCTCTAAAAACACATGAAAACAATTACGTCAAGATTATGAGTCACAAGGAATTTTTTAAAAAAGATCACCAAGGCTAACAAAGAAACATCGTTTCACTTCCCTTTGTACTTATGTGAGAATCCCAGGGTAATATTTGTCCACAGCATGACCAAACGAGAGACTAATTTACTACTGGTCAATTTTAAAAAGTCAAATAGATCCTAGATACAAGTAAACTTTTTCCCTGTCAATGCACAGTTGTGCCTAGATCCCACCTGTGTATATTTGCCATTTACAAATGTTTATATCTTAAGAAAGGAAACATGAAGGGAAAAAACCAGGGAATGTCCAAGAGAATATAAAGTGTTACAAATGCAAATGAAACAATAAAACAATTGAGAAACTACTACTTCTGTAAGTTGCTCGTGCATTTTTCGGGTACTTAAGCCCTGAGGTTTTGGGTAATTTTTCGTATTCAAACACAGCACCCCAGTGTGAGAGGGGGTGCGGCGCTGGCAGCAGAAGTATCTGTGATGTAACACTTTAATGATAAAGGAAAGCAATGAAAGATACGGTGATCGTTTGGTACTTTTCCCTGGAGGTGTCATCAGGGCAAGAAACTGCCTAATTTCTCTCTGTCCACACTGTGAAAGTTGAAAGGTTAATTGAGGCACATACAATGGTTAGTCCACTCTAAAATGTCAGAAAGGTAATTTAAAGGCCTCCAAACCAAAAAGGGGAAGACTGCCACCCTGAACTACATTACAAACCCATCGAGTTGCTGGGACCTGGCCTTACACTGAAGTGGCTAAAAGTTGCAACCATAAGATGCACAGGCTTCTTAAAAAGTGACCTTCAACTATGAAAGGTCACACTAGAAGAAATAAAACCTCATAGAATCAAAGGAAGGAAACAAGCTAGAATTAAAATGATTACGGAAGAATATGGTGGCCTGAGATTAGTCAACATACTGAAAAGAGAATGGGCTGTTTTAATATAATCCTGAAAAATCTTCTGGGCTAACACCAACAGAGTATATTTGAAACCCTTTTTAAAAAACAGTGATCTAAGGAATATTCTGAAGTCATACGTAGTTCTGGCATTAGTGTATAAAGATCAGTGGGTGCTCCATTCGTAAAGCATTTGGACACGCAATGTTTCAATTAAAATGATGACACCGTATTTTGTAAAATCTAATATATTTAATTTTGGCATAATAGTGATTTATTATGTATTAATATTTCAAAAATATACTTTTGTGTTTAACAAACCACTAGAGCTCTCAAACTCATGGCCTATACGCATGCTTTTGCTCCAAACGCCAGGCTGCTATTGCATTGAAGGCAATGGTTTCCATCACGGGGGTTATAAGACCCAGGGCTGCAGATCACTGTGAAGAAAGAATAAGTTAATAGGCAACAGTTTCCTCAACGGCCACATCAGTTAATTTTACATGGAGGATACATTTTCAAAAAGACTCTTTTTCCTTTTTATAATTTGTTTTTAATCGTGGCAAAATACACATAAAATGTACCATCTTAACCATTCTTAAGTGTACAGTTCAACACTGTGAAGTATATTCACGTTGTTGTACAACTAACTTCCGGAACTTTCTCATCTGGGGAAAAGCTGCAAGTCTATATTCATTAAACACCTCTCCATTTCCCCCTCCCCTAACGCCTAGCAGCAACCCTTCTACTGTCTGTTTCTAAATACCTCATATAAGTGACAAGTTGTAACTTTTCACTCTGACACTGGCTTAGACCAAGACTGTGACCCCACATGGTTTTACTGATCACAGAACGTTGAGTTGAGAAAGCTAGCTGGGTCACCTGATAGGCTGCATCAGAAGCCATAGAGCGAAAGAGGGCCCACACTAAGAACCACACACCTTTGATGCACAGATAGCCCTAAATATGGGAAGAGCTTCCACTTTATTTCTAATAATCTCCTGACCTCACGTCCTATTTCTGTCACTTGCTGAACGTTTAACTTCGGAAAAATTACTAACTTAACTCAGTTTGATCATCCCTAACATGTGGATAACTGTATATAATGAATATGTTATCACAGTGATCTCTGCCTGACAGAAAGTAAAGAAGGGCAGAAAGATTCCAAGGGCAAATACATTCTCAGTCATTGATTGACTTTGGGATTCGGGGTAAGTGGTCAATTCTTAGTTCTAGCTTCCTCATTTGTAAAACAGGTACAGTAACAACCAAGTCTGTACTATTAGGCGAGGAGTGAAATCAGATGACTTAGATGAAAACGCATCCAGAATACCGCAAGCCTTCCATAAATGCTCTGTCGTCTGTGGGACCGCCTCCCCCCACGCAAGAAGGCCATGTGACGCCAAGCTCTCTAACTGGGCTGGGGTCTCTGATTATCCTGGTCCTCCTTTTCCTACTGCAAATGTAGTCAGCCAAGGATTCACAGAGATGTTTGTTGCACATCTAAGGCATGGTTATTATAGGCCATCAGAGAAGATTCTTTTTCTGGCACCGTGATCAATAATACGTGCCATTGTTTGGATCTGGGCCATAGTACATTATTCAATTTCATATCACCCTTTCAAAAATATTAGAGAAGTTATTTTTCATTCTGGTTTTAATAGATATTTTGTTTGGGGAATACTGTTTCAGATAAAAAATACTGGTTAAACAAAGTTAAGTAGATTTTTTGCTGCAGTAACAAGAGTATTTAAAGTGGTGATGTATAGGGTAAGATTGTCATGATGTGACATTTTTCAAAGGTGTGTGATCATGGTACTTTCTTTCAAAACACATATTAATACTTCTTAAAGCACAAATATGGAAATGCTGAGAAAAGGTATCAGTGTTACGTCAATACACAGGGAGAAGAGGAACATAAATCTGCAGGCGGTCCTTACACACATACTTTACACTGAGTATCACCAGCAGAGCTGACACTGGCATCTAAACCCAAGTTTAAATAAATATGATCTTCTAATAAATGTCCTTAGAATTAATAAATCTTTATAACACAGTATGTGCAATACCTCAGAGTCCTTATCTATAGCACTCTCTCCTATGACATATCCTAAAATGCCATGTTCTCTTTTATGTGGAATTGAGGAAAAATTCTCAAATGTTATTTAAATTTAAAGTAGAAGATTAGCAAAATTATCTTCTAGGTTTTAGTCTCACTGAGCCGAATATTTCCCAGCTGCAGTTTTGAGAGCAACCTGATTAAATCTTGGTAAGAGGAGCAGGAAGCATTGATGACTGATCAGTATTGACATACAAAGAAATGAGAAGCAGGCAGAGGAAAATATCTTCATGAATTTAGGATAGGGAATACTTCCTTAAAAAGGGAAATAACTGGGGGGGTGGAGCAAGATGGCGGAGGAGTAGGAGACCTGGGTTTCGTCTCCTCTCAGGAATTCAGCTGGATAGGGATCAAACCATTCTGAACACCTACAAACTCAACAGGAGATTGACGAAAAGAAGAGCAACAACTCTCTGATCAGAAAAGCGACCACTTTCTGGAAGGTAGGACGTCCGGAGAAGGGAATCCGAGGCGATATTCTGGAGGATAGAGGCGGGAGAGGGGCCTCCGTCGGCCGCTTCTGGCAAGTGATAAAACCACGGAGCACAAAGTCGGAACTTTTAAAAGTCTGCTCCGCCGAGGGACGTCACTCTGGTGGCTAAGCGGGGGGTGGAACCCTCCGGGACAGTGGGGTCTCAGGACCCTTGGGGTCACAGAAAGACCGGGGGTGCCTGAGTGCGGCAGAGCTCCCAGGTAACGGAGCAGGGAAGCCGGCTGCAGAGGCGGAGCCCAGGCGCGGGCTCTCAGCTCCGGGTGGCCATAAACCGGGATCCGCGGCACAGTCGGGCCACTGTTCCTCCCAGCAGGGACCCAACAAGCGGCAGATCCAGGGAGACTCACCTTCTTCCCCCGGGAGGAGAGGTGCGGGAGCGCACCGCAGGGATCTGCTGGGTTTGGAGACTCCACCCGGGGTCGGGTGCCAGAGATGGAAACGCGCAGTCACAGGCCGGGCGAGCACGGAGTGCGGCCGGAGACCAGGGAGACGGGAGTGACTGATGGCTTTTCTCTGGGGGCTCACTGTGGAGCGGGGCCCCGAGTTCTCGGCTACTCCGGGGCGGAGATTGGGAGGCCGCCATTTTCACTCTCCGCCTCCAAAGCTGTACGGAAAGCTCGCAGGAAACAAAAGCCCCGGAGAGCAAACCCGAGCAGATGACTTAGCCGGGAGGGGGCAAGGGCGGGGCAATTCCGCCTCCGGCAAAGACATTTGGAAACCACGGCAACATGCCCCTCCCCAGAAGATCAGCGAGAACAGCCAGCCAAGACCAAGTTTACCGATCAATGAGAACGGCAGAACTCCAGCGCTAGGGGAATACTACACATAGAATTCATGGCTTTTCCCCATGATTCTTTAGTCTTTCAAATTTAATTTTTTTTAACTGTCTTTTTTTTTTTTTAATTTTCCTTTTTCCCTTTTTCAACCAACATCTTATCAATCCCTTTTTTAAAAAAAAATTTTTATTTTTCATTTTTAGAGTCATATTCTAGGGGCGCCTGGGTGGCTCAGTCGGTTAAGTGACTGCCTTCGGCTCAGGTCATGATCCCGGGGTCCTGGGATCGAGTCCCGCATCGGGCTCCCTGCTCGGCAGGGAGTCTGCTTCTCCCTCTGACCCTCTTCCCTCTCATGCTCTCTGTCTCTCATTCTCTCTCTCTCAAATAAATAAATAAATAATCATTAGAGTCATATTCTATCCCTTCATAGTAGTTACCCGTATTTTTGGCATATATATATAAGTTGTTCTCTCTTTAAAATTTTGAGATAGTTTCTTCTAACAGATTAAAATATACCCTAAATCTCTAGTATATGGTGTTTTCTATTCCCCTGCCTGATCACATTATCTCCCTTTTTTTTTCTTTTTTCTTTTTTTAATCCTCTTTTTTTCAAACTTCTTATAAATTCCTTTTATAAATTTTTTTATAATTTCCATCTTTACTGTCATATTCCAACCCTTCATCAAATCAACCCTTATTTTTATACATACATAAGTTTTTCTTTCTTTAAAATTTTGGGAGGCACTTTCTTCTAAAAGACCAAAATACACCCCAAATCTAGTGTGTGGCACTGATCTATATACTAGCCTGATCATATTTGATCACATTCTGGGTTTTTTTGTTGTTGTTGTTTTGTTTTGTTTGTTTTTGTTTTAATCTTTATCTTTTTCTTTTTCTTCTTTTTCTTTTTTCTCTCTTTCCATTTCTTTTTCCACTGCTTCAGGTCTTTTCTGATTTGTTTAGAGTATATTTTCTGGGGACGTTGTTACTCTGCTAGCATTTGTTCTCTCATTAATCTATTCTCCTCTGCACAAAATGACAAGATGGAAAAAATCACCTCAACAAAAAGAACAAGAGGTAGTACCGACTGCCAGGGACCTACTCAATACGGACATTAGTACGATGTCAGATCTAGAGTTCAGAATCATCACTTTAAAGATACTAGCTGGGCTTGAAAAAAATATGGAAGTTATTAGAGAAACCCTTTCTGGAGAAGTAAAAGAACTAAAATCTAACCAAGTAGAAATCAAAAAGGCTATTAATGAGGTGCAATCAAAAATGGGGGCACTAACTGCTAGGATAAATGAGGCAGAAGAGAGAATCATTAATATAGAAGACCAAATGATGGAAAATAAAGAAGCTGAGAAAAAGAGAGATAAACAACTACTGGATCACGAGGGCAGAATTCGAGGGATAGGCGATACCATAAGACAAAACAACATTAGAATAACTGGGATCCCAGAAGAAGAAGAAAGAGAGAGAGGGGCAGAAGGTATAATGGAGCAAATTATAGCAGAGAACTTCCCTAATTTGGGGAAGGAAACAGCCATCAAAATCCAGGAAGCACAGAGAACCCCTCTCAAAATCAATAAAAATAGGTCAACACCCCAACATCTAATAGTAAAATTTACGAGTCTCAGAGACAAAGAGAAAATCCTGAAAGCAGCTTGGGAGAAGAGATATGTAACCTACAAGGGTAGAAACATTAGATTGGCAACAGACCTATCCACAGAGACCTGGCAGGCCAGAAAGGACTGGCAGGATATATTCAGAGCACTAAATGAGAAAAATACGCAGCCAAGAATACTCTATCCAGCTAGGCTGTCATTGAAAATTGAAGGAGAGATAAAAAGCTTCCAGGACAAACAAAAACTAAAGAAATTTGCAAACACAAAACCAGACCTACAGGAAATCTTGAAAGGGGTCCTCTAAGCAAAGAGAGACCCTAAAAGCAACGTAGACCAGAAAGGAACACAGACAATATACGGTAACAGTCACCTTAAAGGCAATACAATGGCACTAAATTCCTATCTTTCAATAGTTACCCTGAAT